ACACTTAGTTTTAATTCCATGGAATTAAAATATTTTTTGAGTCAGACACACATATCAAATTCCTATATATTTCACAATGATAATCCTTACCCTTTACTGATACTTTAGCATATCTATTATCTTTCCATGTATATGCTTTGTCACCATGGTAATGTTTTATCAGATGTCTCTAAAAAACATTATCAGTTTCATTTCTTCTGTTTATTACACTATTTTCTTTCTGATTTCTGTGGTAAGGCAATCTTCACATTCACCACTCTTATTATATGTTTTCTATAATTTTAGTATTGTTTGAAATCTATTTTCAGAGAGCATTTCTCTTTGAAAAGATAAAATAAATGAAACTTATGGGCACCTGGGTGGCTCAGTCGGTTGAGTGTCTGACTTCAGCTCAGGTCACGATTTCCGGGTTTGTGAGTTACAGCCCCACGTTGGTCTCTGTGCTGACAGCTTGGAGCCTGCTTCAGATTCTGTGTCTCCTTCTCTCTGCCCCTTCCCTGCTCACACTCTGTCTCTCTCTCTCTCTCAAAAATAAATAAATATTAAAAATATTTATAAAAAAATGAAACTAGCCAGAATTCTACCCATTCTTTGATACTCACAAAATTTCCTGACCAATACTTATTTTTCATTCAGGTTTGCCATCTTTCTTTACCAATCTGAACTATGACACTAATAAACTAACCATTTGGGATGATGAATTTCAGTTTTCTCATGATTCTGAATACTAATCATTATTTAGGATATTAAATGTTTTACAAATGTTTCAAACTATCTACTTTCTACATTCAACAATCACTGACTACTCAAGATACTTTATTTTAATTTCATTTTAAAAGTTATTCTCTTCCTAAAATATAGCGTGTGTGTGTGTGTGTATATATATATAATTTGACTAAAAATTTATAATTATATGCTTTATCAGTATATGTGTTTATATTGTTCTTACCTATTTTTTTCTTGAGACAACTGGAGTGGAATTTTTTGTCTTTTTTTATGTTTAGGTTTTATCTAATTAAGATAAAGAGAAATGCAAAATGAATAATCACTCTTCTCTTTTTTTTTCTTCTTCTTAAGTACCTTCCTATTTTGTAAGTTAACCTCTCAGCTACTATAAATTACCAAAATACAGCATTACTTATTTTAAGTTCTTCTCTCCGTGCCATTTTTCATACAAGGTCTTCTTCTTGGAAAGATCTGTACTCCCCTTTTCAACAAGAGTTTCTTCCAAAGCCTTCAATACACTTGTGACCAACATCCTCTGTGAGACCCTCCGGGTGGCTGATCACCATAGTGACTTAACTGGGTCTCCTCTGCTCTCAAAGCATCATTCACCCCACAAAGTAGGCAACCAAAAATGCTTTTTGAATTTTAATTAATGACTCTGTTTTACAGGAATAAATCATATTCACTACATATGACTTGAAGATCTATTATGATCCTGAAAGGGCTGGCAGGGAATTAACCATGTATGTTCTTACCAGAATGTTTTGGAACTAAATCCATCTTATCTGGCTTTGGAGCCCAATTGGCTTTGGTGTGTTTGGGGGAAAATCACTTAAACTGTTGTGACTCAAGATCTGTAAGATAAGAATTGTGGCTAGGGGCACATTGTTTCTTTTTTGTTAAAGGTTAATTTCCCCTCAGGCCCTGTGGTCTCTGAGTTCCCTGCTTCAAGGATCATGAGGTCATGTTTCCAGCCCCACCCAGCACGTGTCTGACACCTAGCAAGCACTTACCACGTGGGTGAGATGATCGCATGGTCGATTCTACAATTTTCAGTGCGCACGAGGATGGAACTAATTCTCAGGGCTGATACTCTCAAGGGAGAATCCCCAGAAAAGATGAAAAGTAATCTTTACACTGAAGGGTGTGTGAGACAGAAAAAAAATAAATAAAAGGAAGGAGTATCCCAGGGTGTTTCTAGACAAAAAGTGTACCTTCATGATAATCACAGGAAAATGTTTTCTGGATGTCAAGGCATATGCAATATTTATTAATAAAGGTGTTTATGATAAATTTTCCTAAACATTGCAAATCTGTGCAAGACTTACGTTGGCCTCCCCTAAAACAGAAGTGACTTTAAACTTCTGATCGGCTTGCCGGCTATTCTGGAATTTAAAATAGTTGGAATTTAATTCCATAATATTTTCCCCCCTGTTTCTCCCTCCCTTCCCCAGTTTGAAGCAAAACAAACAAACAAACAAACAAAAAAAAAAAACAAAAACAAAAAACCCACAACCCAAGAAACAAAACAGAGTGAATCTTTTGATAGGTCCTTGTGCCCTCTAGTGGCCGATCTACTTAGCACGAGTACTGGCCAGTCAGGCCGGGGTGTCTTTAAATGGCTGACCAGCCCTTTCCTCCTCTCACAGGTGACGCTCTCCTAGGCTCCAAACACACAGCCTGCACTAAAACACTTGAAACAATGGCTGGGTCATAAGTAGAGAGAGTTGGTAAAACTTTTAAATCTTTTATCTAAACTTTTATCTACACTTTAAAAAAATATTTTTTTTCAGAAGCTGTATAAGTGTGTATTCCACAGGAATACAGCATAAATTCTATTAAAATGTTTCATTATCCCAGTGGCCAGAACAAAAGGGTTCTTCCTTATTACATTTTTATGACATATAGTTCAAATAATATGTATTTAAATGTATTTATTCAGTAGGCTGACTTTTTGTTACTGACTGGGAATATTGGTGACTAACTAGGTCTAGCATGGTGTGAAAAATATAAAAGTTAAGAAAATAACTATATTTTGTATAAAATTACATCTACATAATTACTCCTTCACCAAGTATATATTAACCAACTTAACAACAATATTTTCAATTCAGAAAGGAAGATTCATTTGGAAAATAACCGTCAAGTCAATTATTAGATATTTATTCATTCAGCACATAGTTAAATATAATCTGTGTCGTGCCAGATATTAGTATAGGACTGAGAAAAACATGGTGAATTCCTACGTGGAGCTAATGTTTCAGGAAATAAACACTAACTAAATAAATAATCATATTATAAATGTAAAAAGATAGCACTGTGGAAATGCTAGAAAATGGAATATGTAATATGAGGATTCTTAATAAGGGAAATTGTATTAGCTGGGAAAATATTGAGAGAATGAAGTCTGGGGTAAAGTCTAAAGGAATAACAAGCATTCTAAGAGCAATGAGTTAAGGGTGAATTTGGGAAAAAGAGAATTATCTTTGGCAAAAGCAGATCTTGAAAGAGGAAGACAACATTGAAAGATTGAAAATAGCAGACATCAAGAGGAATCATAGTGTTTAAAAAGGCAAGAAAGCTCAGTAGGCATCATCAGCATCACGGCCATAGAAGGAACGGAAACTCAGCAAAACTAAAAGGCAACTGACAAAAGGGGAAAAGATATTTGCAAATGACGTATCGGATAAAGGGCTAGTATCCAAAGTCTATAAAGAACTCACCAAACTCCACACTGGAAAAATAAATAATCCAGTGAAGAAATGGACAGAAGACATGAATAGACAATTTTCCAAAGCAGACGTCCAGATGGCCAACAGACACATGAAAAGATGCTCAACGTCACTCATCATCAGGAAAATCCAAATCAAAACCACACTGAGATACTACCTTATGGTGGTCAGAGTGGCTAAAATGAACAAATCGGGAGACTATAGGTGCTGGAGAGGATGTGGAGAAATGGGAACCCTCTTGCACTGCTGGTGAGAATGAAAACTGGTATAGCCACTCTGGAAAACAGTGTGGAGGTTCCTCAAAAAGTTAAAATAGAACTACCCTATGACCCAGCAATAGCACTGCTAGGAATTTACCCAAGGATATAGGAGTGCTGATGCATAGGGGCACATGCACCCTAATGTTTATAGCAGCACTTTCAACAACAGCCAAATTATGGAAAGAGCCTAAATGTCCATCAAATGACGAATGGATACAGAAGATGTGGTTTATATGTACAATGGAATACTACTTGGCAGTGAGAAAGAATGAAATCCTGCCATTTGCAGCAATGTGGATGGAACTGGAGGGTATTATGCTGAATGAAATCAGTCAGTTAGAGAAAGATAACCATATGTTTTCACTTATATGTATATCTTGAGAAATTTAACCGAAGACCATGGGGGAGGGGAAGGGGAAAAAAAAGTTACAAAGAGGGAGGGAGGCAAACCATAAGAGGCTCTTGGATACTGAGACCAAACTGAGGGTTGATGGGGGGTGGGGGAGGGGAAAGTGGGTGATGGGCATTGAGCAGGGCACTTGTTGGGATGAGCCCTGGGTGTTGTATGGAAACCAATTTGACAATAAATTATATTAAAAGAAAAGGACATTTAGTATTTATTCTTAGAGATGCCCTTTTTGGAACTTCAATTATACAGTTGTTTCTTTCTGGAATTTTGTAACTTAAAATAACTTTAAAAAGCAGATTAAAAAAAAAAAAAAAAAGAGGCCATTCAAAGCAACGCCCTCTACCCTGACATACATAAACACAAGAGCACATATGCAAAAAGTACACACTTCTATATGTTTATTATTTCTAACCAAGTAATTTAAAAGAAAACTGAGTATACAGTTTCTTTGGTATTTATCAATTGATTAAATCAGATACGTTTAGAATAATGTTGCCCGTTCTGTAAAATCTATATCAACATCAAAGATATGATATTACGTTTCTTCTTTTTTGGCTGCTGCTTTTGGCCCTTTTTGTTTTATTTATTTATTTATTTATTTATTTATTTATTTATTTATTTATTTATTT